TTCCGATTTTCCGTAATTGACATCACTAGTAGGTACCTACTGTCTAGGTAGGTACCTAATACGAGTATACCTATACCGTATGGCTGGTGTCCAGTGCAGTGTCCACTAACCACATTTCGCTAGTGACCGATCGAAAGTTGTAACAATCAGTCATAAAACTGACAACTCTCCATTCCATCAAAGGACGGCCTTTATTAACCCTCGCCGGCCGAGGGGGGGGGGGGGGCGGGTCCCTAGTGAAAAAATCCTACAGGATTTGTACCAAAATCCTGTACGTCCCTACAGGGTCGTGCAGGGTTGCTGGAGTAGCCGTACAGGATTTCATGCAGGCAACTATGGCTGTACATGGAATCCTACAGGGTGCCCTGCACGACATCCAACAGGGGACCCTGTACTGAATCCTACAAGGAGCCCTATACGGTATCTGATAGGGAGCCCTATAGGGAATCCTACAGGGCCCTGTAGGGAATCCTTCAGGGAGCCCTGTATGCAATGATACAGGGAGCCCTGTGCGCAGTCATACAGGGAGCCCTGTGCGCAGTCATACAGGGAGCCCTGTACGCAGTCATACAGGGAGCCCTGTATGCAGTCATACAGGGAGCCATGTACGCACCCATGTGAAAAAGTCTTATAAGATTTTACCAGAATCTTCACTATCTTGCATGATCTTATAAGATTTTGAAGACAGTCTTGCAAGGCCTAGCAGAGCTTGTACAAGATTGGCCAACATCATACAGAGCTTATAAGAATCTGGCATAGGCAGATTCTCGCGAGAATGCTGATTCTGCTAAGATTGAAGAATCTTACAAGAATGTGCTGATCCCATGGAAGGCTACTCCCGCTAATCGTTTTTCGCATAAATCATAATTAAAGAGCTCGCTTAACTCTCAAGCAAATGCGATCATTTGCTCCACACGGACTACGTGGAGAACAGTTGTAAACGATGCACCTGTCAAGTAAAGTATGAGGACTGAGGAGTACCTACCTAGGGAGAAATGCCTCGCCCCGGTGCGTTGATATGTTGGACAATGGACATTTTTCTCAATCTGCAACCTACCGGGATTTATTCATCTCCTCAGGACGGTACTGCTCATTATTAGAACTGGCGGGGACATAAACATTCGAATGTTGTTGTCAACATTGTCCCGATATATATAGGGAATTACGAATTGTGAATTGATCCCTATAAAAGAATCGATTCACTTCATAACTCCCTAATCCTTTCATAACATTATCATCTTAATTTGACGCGTTGCTGTACTGTATTATTCGGGGACTAAAGTGTGCATTTGTGCGCTATGGTGATGTTTCAGAGACTGTACCGACTGGAATTTAGCGACCACTGTCCGTTTTGAGACCGTACGGTCGGCGGCGGGCGTCCCGATCCTCGCCTGGGGCGGAGAGGGGAGCGCGCGTCCCCCTCCGCCGCATTCCGTCCGTCCCATTCACTGCCCGCTCGCGATGTGCGGAGAGCCGACGGAAGTGTCGAGTGTGTGCCGTGCGGTGTCGTCTGCCTTCTCCTCTTCCGACCTGAAGGTAAGTTTCTGCCATGCTGTATTGCTGTGTAACAATAAAAAAATTGTTCTCAATATTTGCAGCATTACAGACAAAAAAAACGGCGCCGAAACGTTCACTCAAAAATAGCTGATCGAAAAAAAAAATAGCTGAAAAAATAGACATTTAAATGTCTACTATCAGATACCAGAGCGCATTAGTAGCGTCGACGCTACTACATAGTAGCACACAACATTAATTCAATATTAAAAATTGATTGAATCCAGGTTGATTGTCAACATTGAGGATCAACCGTTTTTCGACATCGATCCAGCATTTATTTCACGTTGAATTTGCGTTGTATTTGGTTGATAGGAGATTGATATGCAATATTGTGATACAACATCAAAACAATGTTGTATGCCGATCACTTTGTATCGCGTTGTATGTATCACTTTTATGCCGATTAGTTACTTTCGACGGCAGGGGTCCCTTCAATCAATATATTATCATTGTAACATGTGAATATCCACCTTGTTACAGGAACGCAGGATGCGAGGATCGTCGGGCGACACCACCACTCGAGATTCGTAGATCGATGGACGGAGCGGCAGCCGCGACGCGACGACGTGTGTCGTAATGTGACGGGATGTGACCCGGAAGTGGCTGTGTATTTATCCCACAAATACATTTATTCCGAATATTGACTTTGTCGGTAACGCGGGAACTCGTGGGTCTTTTTAGCATTCCTGGTCAACCGGCTCAAGATGCCCAAGTCGGAGATGCCCGAGTCGGAGGTGTGCTGAGCCGCTGTTTTCAACAGCGGCTCAGCACAATAACAAGATCCGGAATACTTATAGAATGGCGAGTGTGGTGCCCTGTACGAGATCCTTTACGATACCCTGTACGACACCGTGCACGGTACCCTGTACGACACCGTGCACGGTATCCTGTACAACACCGTGCACGGTACCCTGTACGAAACCATGCACGGTATCCTGTACGACACCGTGCACGGTACCCTGTACGACACCGTGCACGGTACCCTGTACGACACCGTGCACGGCACCGTGTACGGCACCCTGTGCGACACCGTGTACGACACCGTGTACGGTACCCTGTACGACACCGTGCACGGTACCCTGTACGACACCCTGTAGGAACCCTGGTAACAATTTCGTCAAAAATCCTGTAGGGTCAACCATACAGGGCTACCCTGTAAGATTTTTTCACTAGGGGTGCCGCCCCCCATAGGGTTTTTTTCGCGATAGCTCCGAACACGCTGGCGATAGAGAGCTGAAACTTGGCATACCTGACCTTTGATTCAAGCCGGATCTTTTGACACCAACCGCATTTTTGGGTCACGTCAGGTCACTGACCTATGACGTCATAAGTGAACCTCTGCACGGTCTTCAGATGTCGCAACTTCGCAACGCCCTCACTGCCAGAGGAGATGTCACAGGGAAATGAAACTTGCAGGATCTAGTATCCATTATGAGTCTCACAACTTGTTTATCTCGGATTTTTCCTAAAGGTCATATCAGGTCAGGTCATTTTTGTGACCTCACCATTATAGGTAAGTCAATGGGAAAAAATGAAAACTGCTATTCTGGCGCCGGGAACGATCTCCAACTATCTCAAGCACACAGAATCGTGATTTGATGCACTCCTTGCAAGGTTAGATGCGTCACTTTTGCAATGTTGACCTTTCGTCACGTCATTTATGACGTCATCAAGGTCATATTAGTTTTTCGTCAATAACTCCCGATCAAATTGAGCTAGCGAGTCGGGAAAGCCACCAATGAACACAGGAAGACCTGCCGAATCGAATGATATGCGACATGACCTCTTTCGACCAGCTTCGTGACCTGTGGGTGCTGACCTGACCTTGACCTGAGGTCAACACCCTAAGTTGACCTGACCCGAACAAAAAGTATATCATTCGACGCGCCTGATCGAGGCAAACACGATGCTGCCAAAATCGCGGCTCTGCGGCCGTTTTTTGCGAAGTTATTCACCAAAAACTGAACCGTACCTTGGGGCACTTGACCTGACCTCAGAGGTCACCGGTTGACCAAGGACCTTAAAATCGGGTACCAATCTCTGCGTCTCGTAACGGCGCACACGCTCGTTTTTTCCGCGACGCGCTAGCTCCTCCAGGGGCGAAACGGCGAGGGGGGGGTCGTACCCGCCCCCCCCCCCTCTCGGCCGGCGCGTATGTAGAAAACCAATAGGTCCGGCGAGGGTTAAGTGATGCAGCGACCACCATGCCCAAGCATTAAGACTGATCGATAGGGCGTCGGTGTGACGGTACCGTATTTACCTACTTCCCTGCAGCCTCTGCCCGAGCAGCGAATAGTCAGAACCGGGCCGCAGGGCTCGAACTGACCAGCGCCTCGGATGCAACCCTGAATGGACATATCTACCAGCAGCGAGAGACCTGTGTCCCTCGCCAGACTTTTTGGTTTTCTACATACGCGGCGGCCGAGGGGAGGGGGCGAAGACAGACCTTCCATTTCCAGTCTAAGCCCTTATTTTACCAGGGCCCTATGTTGTCAAAGCTTCCAATATCGCATTCAAGTAGCGACTGCATTACATTTGTAATCCCAGCTGTCAATGCAGCACGTCCTATTCGGTATAGCACATGCCTCCGAGGTACGAACGGGATCCTACCGGCCGGCGCCGCGGTCCCACCGGGATACCCTGTGCTCCGAAGGTCAGTCGGCGACAGGACCGTTAGTGCAGAACACATCACGTTCTGGCACTGGAGCAACGGCATCGCCCTATTGGCCCCCCATTCATCGCCCTATCCATCCAACCAAAACAGCGCACAACGCCCGCGCCGCTCCGTACCAATACGCTGTTGTAACCAGTGTGGGCTGGGCAGGGTAGGGGGGGGGGGGGAGTGGCACGCGTGACCCTGACCTCGGCACGGGCGATCCGGGTAGCTGTTGGCCAAAACTGGGACGGACGAGAGAGGTTACGCTTGATAGCTGAGGCATGGAAGAGAAGAGAAGAGAGGGAGAGGGAGGGAGGGAGGGAGAGAGAGAGAGAGAGAGAGAGAGAGAGAGAGAGAGAGAGAGAGAGAGAGAGAGAGAGAGAGAGAGAGAGAGAGAGAGAGAGAGAGAGAGAGAGAGGAGGAATAAACGAGGGAAAAAAGGAAAAAGAAAAGGAAAAAGAATGTAACGCAAAACAACGGCCTATACAAATCTTGAAAGATAGGGCAGAATAACTAGTGATTAAAATCTTTGTTTATGGGAGTTTTAGGGCTCGCCGAAAGGTCCTTTTGCGCCCATGGGCCAACCCCTCCCCCCCCAAAGTGTAGAAAGAATAAACCTCCTGGGGCAGAAAGGTAATTTAGGGGAGGAAGAGAAACCGTGTATCACGACAATGCTGCACATTACAAGGTCACAAAACCTAGGCGCGATTATTTGTTTCAATCAATACCTTGTTATGAATTCATCTTTCATGGTAAATATAAAAAGTCGCGTCCAAGTAGAGCAGGATTCCAAAGAAATATTTTATTCACTACTTGGCACGTAATACAAACGTCAATGATGCTAAAGCTCATGGCATAGGAATGACGCCATAGGGCGTTTCTCCGTAGGAACTACAAATCAAACTGGCCCTAACACAACCCTAAACAAACTGGTGCGCGGTGTCACCGGAAATGGCTCATGGCAACAGGTTATATCCTTCCGACAAGAAAACAGTCAGTTGCTTGATACACAACATCAATGACATAATTTTGTACAAACGATCTACACTTCTCTAGAAGACGTCTATAAAAATGGAATCATCGGCGCAACTGGAAGCATCTACAAAACTTGAGCGTACATCGAAACTTCACAACATTGGAGGCTAAAAACACCATAGAGAAAACACACGACGGTCAATACGCCACATATGCACTTGCTTCATTACATACAGCTAATCCTGTTGAAAAGAGAACAATAAAAGGTTCCACAAATAATCGCTTGACTACACGGCGTAGATGGCAGAAATGAATAATGTCGTTCCGTGTCCGGTCCGATACGGAAGGTCACAAAAGGTACAGAGTACAACAGAATCGGCCTGGTCTCTGACTTCACAATGCCACGGATGGAATGGAACGGTTGAACAGCGATTCAACTAACCGGGTCACCTGCGAGGAACATCTCTCGATAGCACGCAATGTGGAATCACACGATAGGCTGAACTGGGGTGGGGCTCTGTCCATTGACTTAACATGCAAACATCATTAGAACACACAAACACACGCACACACATCCACGCAAGAGTAGGAGCACACGGGGTGCACGCAGAATCGAGGTCAGATTGAAATGAGGTCGGTCGCCCGTCCTACCCGCCAGAGTACAGTGGGGGCCGGTCCGGGCGATTGCAAGACAGCTGATGTAGTACGACAAACTGGCGAGGTATGTTCCCGTAAAATAAGGGATACATTACAGACCCTCCTCGATCCTCATATATACACTGCTAGTAGAGTCATAGCAGGAGAGAGAATACTACACGTGTGTAATACTGGGGAACACGAAACCGACGAGAAGTGCGCAAATAATACTGATCTTCCCCGAGCAGCACGGTCAACTACTACAGGACAATATGGCAAACGATATGGCAGAAATTGGAGATCGATCCCTAAGAGCTTTACAAGACACAGAACATTTCACAAGCAAAGAGTGATCACAGTAATAAGAACAACCACGCAACTGTGACATCGTTAAAAAGGATAAGGGAAACAACAGCTTTCGCAAACAAGTTGAGCTCAGCTAACGTCGGCACAAAGTATCATTTGTGAGCCGAGTTAGAGGTATACTTTGGCACATTAGGAAGTCTATCACCCGCCACTGGCGACGAAAGCCGGCCAGAGGGCAGTAGCTCGCATTGGCACGATCATAAAAAGACGATGAAACAATTTGGCACACGCAATACCACTGGCTGGTACCTTCGGATCTGATCCTGTGACACATACAAGCTACCTCTGAGCAGCTAGGGAGACAACACGTGGGTTGAAAAGGTCAATGGGGCTCCCGTCACTAACCATCAAGAGCTAGAGACTTAAAGGAGTAAAAGTCTCCTTTAGTAAGTCTCCTTTAAGTAGAGACTTAAAGGAGACTTAACGTATAAAGGAGCTTAGGGTGCCACGGAACAGTCCATCTAAATGGCACAGGACGAGCATCACAGACAATGGCGACATCTGCAAACTGACGACAAAGACATACAGCGGCTATCTCGACAAATTTTACATACAAGGTAACAAGGTGTTCTCAGGAGTCAATGAAGTCGATTGAAAACAGTTTTACACTTACATCGAAATAAGACCAGCTGGATAAAAATTCGCAACTTCAAGTAGCTTCATGCAAGAGAAAACATTGTGATTATGAAAGTTATCCCTGCTGTATCAAAGAACAGCAAAAATAGTAATATGAGAGTATTATACATGTGCAACTAAAATTCAAATCAGCACGAGAAACACAAAAGCACAAAAAGATATAAAATCAAAGCGAAAAATATTCTGAACTGAGACTCAAAGAGATCACAGTTGTAGATGAGAAAAATATCAGTAAATTGTAAAATAATACTGATAACCAATGGCTAGCCATGCCAGGATGCTTCATAAGAGCACAACTCGGGCTGTTCCGAACACTAAATAGAGTAAAAGGGTCTTCAGAACCTACATCCACGTCAGAAGTACTTTTCCCATTCTAAAAACATGCCAGAAAAAAATCACTGATGGAATGTGCTTGGCAAATCGGTCCATGACAGATGGGAAAAAGAACACTGCTGTAAAATGAACCAAACTAACTCCATGTTCTTAAAACTGTTAGGTCATCCACGACACATCAAATGCAAAGCGTGAGGGGTCTTTCAGTCATGAATTGTACATCAGCCGCACGAAAAAATCGTCTCTTCATTGTTATAAGAAAACAATAACTTCCGAATAATCAAAACTAGTTAGTGCAAAAGATTTGCACTGACAGACACCACCCTGTCCGCATTGGAATTAAGGAGTCGTCATATACCTCAGCTCAGGGGCGGAGCTTCCTATACAGTTGGTGGGGCGGCTGCCCCACCAACTTTGTATTTTGCCCCACCAATGAGCGTTTTGCCCCACCAACTTTTGGTGATTTCTAAGACTTTGTTGTTTCGCAAATTAATCTTTTTCGCATTGAAGAGCTTGAAATGTCTGTTTAATGCAAAATAATATGTCTGTAATGATAGGAATTGATTCAGTGTGGCATTTCATTCAACTTTATAATCGGAAATTGTGGGTTTGACGACTTTTTGCCCCACCAACTTCCCTGGAAAAGCTCCACCTATGCCTCAGCTACATGGGTAAGTAAACGCACATTTACTTTGCTGATGTGTCTGAGGTAATGGCCCCTCTCCCTGTTCTCCTACGGTGGTCCTGATGCTCGGTGTTCTCAGAGCTGTCCTAATCCTTCTTTTTGGGTTTCTTGGGGTTGCGGCTGCGCGACTTGGCCTTACAGAGCGGGCAAATGGGCGCGTTACGGTGAATCTGCTGGTGGCACGACAGACACGACTTCATGGGCGGCGGCTGCTGCCTGTGGGATGGGAGAGAGGAAGCGTCAGTGGGGGAGAGACGGCTGGTGCAGAGCGGGTTCAAGAGTAGGAATGACAGGGGCAAAGCGGCCACTCGGCGTCAAGTTGACAATCCACGTTTTAGCCCTCCACAGCTGGCGTCAACCCCAGTACTTTATGTTTGCCAATAACAGTTCTCTTCGCGGTCGTTCGAATGAACCGCAACGGGGTCGTCAATGTTTCGTGACACACGGAACGACATTTCTTCCCAATTTAGTAACTATTCTTACGCTTTTTATAAGGTACTTTATTCAGTAACCGTTTTGAACAACAACAGAGCACATCCACAACAAATCATCCAAGACCCCCCACGCCCCCCCCCCCCCACACGGCACCCACTCACCTGAACGGAGTCGGTGACGGCCCTCCGGCGACCATCTGCGAGGAGCGAGCCTCCGGTTTGGCCAGTACCATCACCCTGTGCGGCTGACCGCCCGACAGGCCGCCGTACGAGCCGCCGGAGCCGGGGCCAGAGCCGGGGCCGGAGCCGGAGCCCACCACCGAGTGCAGTCCGGTCTCCGGACGCTCGGCGGGCCCGGAGCGACCCGGAGCCGGCGGCTGCTCCGCCTGCTGACTGCCCTGCTCCAGCAGTCTGTCCGGGGAGAGGAGGGGTGTAATTAGTGATGGGGAAGGGTGGGTAAAGAGTCGGAGGGTAACAAAAAAGAGGTTTCATATCGAAGGCTAAGAGACATTGACGCGTCACAGCACATCGCTAGACTATCCAATTTTATGACCAATTCACATTACATGTGGAAAGAATACCACCATGACATTTCAACTTTTTGGCAGAAAAATAACAGCACAAAGGACATGGAAAGTAACTTGTTATCAGGTTCGGTAAAGTCTGGTTTAGTTAGTGATCAGAGCACACCCAAAAGTGACAAAGAGATGCTCAAAGTTAGGAACAGTTGTCACCACCCTCCGTATGCCGACTGACTTCCTATACGACCCCACGGTAAGTCAGGTCAGGTCAGGTAAGGTAAGGTCAGCTCAGCTCAGCCCAGCCCACCACTGACTCATGAATGAACAGGTCGGGTCAGGTCAGGTCAGGTCAGGTCAGGTCTGCCCCAGCCCACCACTCATTTGATGACGGGCAGGTCGGACTCGAGGTCAGGTCAGGTCAGGTCAGGTCAGCTCAGTTCAGGTCAGTCCAGCCCCCCCCCCCCCCCACTCACTCGTTGACAGGCAGGCCGGGTCAGGTCAGGTCAGCCCCGCTTCCCAGCCCCACTCACTCGTTGACGGGTAGGTCAGGCTCGAGGTCAGCGATGTCCACCAGCGGCGCCAGTCCGAGCTGCTGCCGCATACGGTCCAGCTGTCCCTTCAGCGGCCGGTACTCGGCGTGTAGACGACGCGCGGACTCCAGACTGCGACTGCGGGCCTCCTCAGACTGCTTCACCACCTCCTCAATCTACCACAGACAGACAGACAGACTCCAGACTGCGGCTGCGGGCCTCCTCAGACTGCTTCACCACCTCCTCAATCTACCACAGACCGACACACAGACTCCAGACTGCGACTGCGCGCCTCCTCAGACTGCTTCACCACCTCCTCAATCTACCACAGACCGACACACAGACTCCAGACTGCGACTGCGCGCCTCCTCAGACTGCTTCACCACCTCCTGAATCTACCACAGACAGACAAACTAGAGACAGACAGACTGCGACTGCGGGCCTCCTCAGACTGCTTCACCCCTCAATCTACCACAGACAGACAGACTAGAGACAGACAGACAGACTCCAGACGGAATGAGACAACTCAGCTTTACCAATCTCTCGGCTCGTCCTCGCCAATTCCTCAATATACCGCAGACCACTTAACACACAACTAAGCGGCCACTTCAACCTAAGTACATTGTAAACCACAAAATGCGTAAGACTCTCACCACCCCACACGAATGAAGAGGTGCGATTTCCTGGATGGTGTCGTCCCTTTTTAAGCCTCCCGCCCCTTCGCCCAACTCACGGCATTCATGTCAGCATGGATCTGTCTCAGCTCTTCCACGTGTGCCATTTTCTCCTGAAGCAGCAGATCCATCTCACGGCGATACTCGAGCAGCGAGCGGCCCTCGGCGTCCGACACCTCGAGCTCGGTCAGCAGGCGCTGGCGCACCCGCTCCAACTGCAGCTGGCCCCGTCTGAGGGAGACGGAGGGAGGGGTCAGTGGCCGTTGTGTTACATACCCTGGTCAAGTCTGAAGGACGGAGGGAAAAAGAGAGGGGTCAGCACACACTCACGTACCCTGACCGCGTCTGGGGGTTGGAGGGAAAAAGGGAGGGGTCAGCAAACACTGTCACGTACCCTGGCCCTGTCTGAGGGATGGAGCGAGCAGTCAGTGGCCATCGTCACATACCTGGGTCACGTCTGAGGGACGGAGGGAAAAATCAGCGGCCACTGTTACATACCCTGACCATGACGTTTGAAGAAGATAGAGGGACGGAGGGAGGGATTAGAACCCCCAACTGAAAGAGTGAGAGAAAAGGGCCCGGTCGGAGACAAGCGGGTCGAGGCTCTGACTAGAAAAGGGCTCGCTGAGGGTTCAACACCATGCAATGTAGGTGCAAGAAAGAATGTGCATTGAAGGCATGCCAACAAAACACATTGTGGGAACTGGGAAACCACACAGTTTTGTCATTTCAATTTATTATTCAATTGACCTCCCTGTGGCCTAGTGGATAAGGCGTCCGTCTCCCACTCCGTGGCAGCGAGTTTGCGGCCGGGGAGCTCTTACAACGTTTGACTGGCGAGAGAGGGCCACGCTAGACCCGAGAGGACCGTGACGTCAGCGTCACTCAACTGCGGTACGTTCCAATTGTCACCGGTGAACCCGGCGCGGGTGAGGTTGGGTGGTGGGTTCGTGGTGTAATTCGCAACCAGTACAGCTTAGCGGGACATCCGGGCCCACAGCCACCCATTCAACCGGCATTCGGACACAATTAAAAAATGACATCTGTACGTCAGTCACAGCAATGCCGCTGAGAGAGTATATGCAATTCTGAAGGGCTTATTGAGTCTATAGTACTAGGCAGAATATGGCCCTTGGTCCTTCACTCACCTGATCTCATTAATTGTTTGCAACTTGCCAAAGGCGACTCGGTCATCCAGATCCAAATCCATAATCCTGCTGAGTGCTGTTATTGGTGGACCTCAAACCTGAAACTCAAAATATGGATCAGCGTTGTGAGAGGTTGGAGTAAACCTTTGTTAAAGTCCGCCCTCCACATCTGTATTGATTTTCAAAATAGTTTCCATCTCTTCTTAACCCATGGGCCATGGCATTACCATTTCCAGTCCACCCTTTCCTTATCAACCTGAGTGATAAACAAGTACCTACTCCCAATAAACAAAAAATGTTCAGACTAAACTGGCAGTCAGCTGCTTTTACTTTTTTTGCTGAATTTCACTTATGCATTTTTTCATTCCAAGCAGTTAGCGGCCTCCAGCTGCACAGCCTTCATCAAAATATAGTTGGTTTCACCACATTTGCATTAGACTGTCAGTAAGTACAAACACAAGGGCGCTGTTGGGTCGCAGTTTTTTATCAGCAGGCTGTGAGCATGCTGCTACTTGTTGGCTCCTCATTGGTCGAATTCAAGTGGTCTATTTGTTAGACCAATGAGAGTCCAAGAAGCACCAGCAATAACTTCCTTATATGGGGAAAACCGACAACACGCTGATATAAAAACAGCGACCGAACAGAGCTCTGATCCAGCAAAAGCCTAACGACAGCATTACAATTTCATGCGGGCGTAGCTTAACACGCGCACCGACGGGTGTCTGCGCCAACTTCGTACCGACGGGGGGGGATGACCGCCCCCGCCTGAGATCTCGAGAACGAAGCAAGATAGCGACAAGCAGTAAACGGCATGGGATACGCACGGACAAGCTCTACAATTTTTACTAAAGTCATTTTCAGGTCAGGTCAAAGATGACGTCACAGGGGTCAAAAAAGTCAAAATGGCGGCGCTAGATATGGATAGTTTTTCTCGAATAACTTTCGAATTTGTCAAGATAGGAACAAACTAAGGGCATCATCGTGATCCTCTCGTCAATCCGCATCGAATGATATATATGCTGACCTCGAAAGGTTAAGGTCAAAGGTTGACCTCAGGTCACGTGACCTCAAGGTCATCATGTATATCATTCGATGCGTCTTGACGAGCTGAACACAATGAGACCATCCGCGCGGCTGTATCTTGTTCCTGTACGGAGTTATTGGCAAAAAAAACCTTTGGTGACCTTTGATGACGTCACATGACCTTACAGCTGCCCAACAGCCAAACAGACCTCAAGGTAGTGAAGGTTGATCGTATCTGAAGTCATGTATGGTATATGGGGCCATTCCGACCCGTTTTAGTGGTAAAAACAGTGATTTGATTTTTCCCCCATTGACTTATAATGGGGAGGTCGAGAAATTGATACTAATGACCTCATAACATCCTGCGACTTTCAAAGGCCTCCGACATCTACTGTAGCTCTGGCACGGTGACAAAGTTGCAAAAAAAGTGACTTGAGGTTGGGTCATTCAAAGTGACCTGGTGACCTGACCTTAAAAGGTAGGAGGTTCAAACTTGCACACCATGTGTAGAATTGATGAGAGAATAGTCGTACCAAATTTCGCGGCGCCCTCAGGGGGGGGGGGGGCGGATATCCGCCCCCCGTCGGTGCGCGTGTTAACCCTCGCCGGACCTATTTATTTTCTACATACGCGCCGGCCGAGGGGGGGGGGGGGGTACGAGCCCCCCTCACCGTTTCGCCCCTGGAAGAGCTAGCGCGTCGCGGAAAAAAACGAGCGTGTGCGGCGTGCGCCGCTACCAGACGCAGAGATTGGTACCCGATTTTAAGGTCCTAGGCCAACCGGTGACCTCTGAGGTCAGGTCAAGTGCCCCAAGGTACAGTTCAGTTTTTGGTGAATAACTTCGCAAAAAACGGTCGCAGAGCCGCGATTTTGGCAGCATCGTGCTCGCCTCGCTCAGGCACGTCGAATGATATACTTTTTTGGGTCAGGTCAACTTACGGTGTTGACCTCAGGTCACGGTCAGGTCAGCGCCCCCCGGTCACGAAGTTGGTTGAAAGAGGTCATGTCGCATATCATTCGATTCGGCAGGTCTTCCTGAGTCCATTGGTGGCTTTCCCGACTCGCTAGCTCAATTTGATAGGGAGTTATTGATGAAAAACTCATATGACCTTGATGACGTCACAAATGTCACGCTAGGTCAACATTGCAAAAGTGACGCATCTAACCTTGCAAGGAGTGCATCAAATCACAAACTGTGTGCTTGAGATAGTTGGAGATCGTTTCCGGCGCCAGAATAGCAGTTTTTTTATTTTTCCCCATTGACTTATAATGGTGAGGTCACGAAAATGACCTGACCTCATATGACCTTTAGGAAAAATCCGAAATATACAAGTTGTGAGACTCGTAATGGATACTAGATCCTGCAAGTTTCATTTCCCTGTGAAAGCTCCTCTGGCAGTGAGGGCGTTGCGAAGTTGCGACATCTGAAGACCGTGCAGAGGTTCACTTATGACGTCATAGGTCAGTGACCTGACCTGACCCGAAAATACATTTATATTTATATATTAACGTCAGCAGACACTCCACAACACGGTGGCTATTACGTGTCAATTGTCAGTGAATAAAACGGTTGGGGAAGTCGAAAGGTACACGGCAAACAACAATCATCCGCCGAAACAGCACACACAGGCACGCACAATCACTCCAAATAGGTAAAAGAAACGTTTCGCTGCCGGTTTAAAAGCCGCTGGCTCGAGCCGTGTCACGTCACGGCTGCTACTCTGGTGGCAAAGTTCACAACTTTCAGTAGCTGTTCGTTGTTAGCCGCGGAGCCGTTCCCGTACACAGATAGACAATATGTCACGCGCGAGACGACCAGGCCCTGCACGACTGCAAGGAGCATCCGCCGCGGGAGGAGGCTCCTCAGGTGGCGGAGACCGATCAGGAGGCCGACACACTTACGTACCACGTCACTGACATGAGCATCCCACGTAAGGTGGCGCCTAGAAAATGACGCCTAGGTTTTTAACGCATTGGCTCTCCTGAACGATCCCGCCACCGACCCGCACGCTGACGGGGGAGATCTCTGGTATTCTGTCGGGTGCCAAGGAGGAGGATTTCCGTTTTGGACGTGTTGAGTTTAAGTCCGTGGGCATGGAACCACAATGCCAAGGAGGTGAGGTTAGACTCCATGCGTTGGATGAGGTAAGGAAGATTGCGCTTGGTATCGGAAATAAGGATTTGGGTATCGTCAGCGTGCTGGGTCACATGAGCGTCCGGCGCGTGCAGACTGAGGTCGTTGGCAAAAATGGTGAATAACAGAGGACCGAGGGCTGATCCTTGGAAGACTCCCATGGTGTTAGGAAGGGGCCTCGAAACCACTCTGTCACCGGAAGGAAAAGAGATACAGACAGACTGAGTGTGGCTGTTGAGGTAGGAGGAAAACCAGGTCGGGTGGATGCCATAGAGCTGGAGCTTGGAAGCTAGCAGTGAGTGAGGAATGACATCAAAAATTCAAAACATTTACTAAGATCCAGAAGGCAGAGGAGGGAGATAAGGCCACGGTCCATTTTGGAAAAAGCACAATTAGTTACAGAGAGCAGAGCGGTTTCGGTAGAGTGAAGAGAACGAAAACCGTGCTGGGATGAAGAGAGAAGGTGGTTGTCAGACATGTATGTAGGTGGAAAGTTGTCTGTGCACTAAGCGCTCGACAACTTTGGCTATGGTGGGCAGGGCTGTGGAGTCGATGGATTTTCGGCGACTCCAACTCCGGCTTTCAAAAACCAGCTCCGACTCCGACTCCGACTGCGGGCAGAATTGTCGACTCCGACCGACTCCAACTCCCGACTCCGACTCTGCAGACCTAGCAGGGCTGCGGAGTCGACAGATTTTTGATGACTCCGACTCTGACTCCGGCTCGGGTTTCTAAAATCGACTCCGACTCCGGTCACAACTGTCGACTCCGACTGACTCCGACTCCGACTCCGCAGCCCTGATGGTGGGGACAATCGAAATAGGACGGTAGTTGGAGATCAGATCAGGATCACCGGACTTAAAGATAGGATGGAATAGGGTGTGCTTCCAAGAATCAGGATAGTCACACGTGGAAAGACAGGCATTGACTACATGGAGCAGGATGGGGCCGATGGCTTCGAAAGAAAGGAGCAGGATGCGAATACAGACGCCGTCAGGTCCACACACACCGGAACGCTTCATGGAGAGCACCACCTCCCGCAGCTCCGCCAGTGTCACCACGGTGACACGAAAGCCACACACACCAACACGCGGCAGGCGGCACGGCACAGACCGGAAAATGTGGTTGAGCCTTGAGGTCAAAAGATCTGGCTTGAATCAAAGGTCAGGTATGCCAGGTTTCAGCTCTCTATCGCCAGTGTGTTTGGAGCTATCGCGAAAAAACCCTATGGGGGCAGCACCCGCCCCCCTCGGCCGGCGAGGGTTAAGCTTTTGGATGTCAGTTGGGCAAACTAGACTTTTGGAATCAAAATATGGAGGCATCAATAATTTGATTCTGGTGGGAGGAGCCATGACCAAATATGGGCATGGAATCAATTTTTTGATTCATTTGGGTACACTTTTGACTTCAAATGAATCGTTACGGTTGAAAAAAGGCCCATGACGGTGAGATTTTTCTTTTAAAAGGTAGAAAAATGTGGTAGGTTTTCAAAAAGTGTTACCTCAAAGCTAAGAAATTGTCCCTTTGGCCTTGTGAATGGGAAAAAGACAGAGCCACTGTCCATCACGTAAAAGCTGTTTTGAGGAAATCACACTGTATGTTATTTTTGTATCATGAATCACAATACTAACCAATCAGTATTTGTGTAGAATGGCAAAATGAAATTTTTAAACCCCTAATTATCATTGTTGTAGTGCTTTTATATTATTTATATGGTTTTTACCTGTTGCTTCAGTTTTTGTATTCTTGACATTTAAAAATTGTGAATTGTTATCAAATGTAGTGAAGGTAAAGTACAACAATGCTATAGGTATCAGTTGTGGTGCTGAGGATACCACTAAATGAGAATAATAGCAAGATAAATGCTGTATTCTTGCAAGTCATTGTTGCCTATCTGTTAACATTACCTGTGAATCAAAATAATGATTAGCCAGCTGATGGGGAATCAATATTATGATTATCTGTTTAAAGTGAATCAATTCCTTGATTGCCTTTGACTACCTATAGAATTCAAATTGTTATGATAGGAGCAATATTATTTTGCTTTGGAGATAGTTCAAGCATTTCTGTTCAAGATCAGGCATGCTCCTTCTTGAAACACTCTCTTATTTTTATGTGATTAGTAAGTTAGAAATAGTCTGCATTTATGCCCAAAAGGAATCAATCTTTTGATGCCTCCATCTTTTGATTCCAAAGGTCTAGTTTGCCCAACTGATGTTGTAGCCTGTAGATGCTGGGTTTGGTTAAATTTCACTGCTTTTTCAAAGCACACAAAAACCTTTTGTTCTTATGAATGCACATATCAGCCTATATCCTTTATTAGTTTAAGCTAGCATACCATGTAGAGCAGGAAGCAATTGTGACATTTACGGCGCAATCGGACTTGCTTAGGACGAATTATTTTATCAAAGCAACATATTAATTACCTGTCTATTGACTGTGTCCCTATTCAATTTCCCTTCACGAAGGACTGATGCAATAGATGCATAAAGCAACACAAAGAGATAAATCAAATTCTTCTTCCCGCGCTCCCTGCCCCTTGCTTGTTGTTGTTGTTGTTGGAAGCCCTGCCCCTTGCTTCGCTACAAAAGGATAATTGTAATGGAATAATTCAAGTGATAAAGGCTAAGCTGTCTGTTGCTGCTTTCTTTACGTCACAAGATTTTTGAGTATTTTGTTCTTTTTATTCTTTGTTCCTTTTCGGTTGTTTTTTCTTCAACAAATTAAAAACAAAGTTATATCAGTTGTGATAGGAAAGAGCTATGAAAGGTAAACTATTTAAGAAACATCTTTCAAGTTTCAAAACAATTGAATATTTTTATATCATTGCTGTTGACGTCATAAGAAAAGGCAATAGCTCTTAGCGCAGTAAACACCAAAAACCTTTAGGTGAGTTATTTTCCTCCTTGGTTGCTCGAGTTTTTTCCGTTTTTTCCACGTTTTTCTCAAGGCTGTTTTTCTCCATTGGGGTTTTGAGAGCTTTTCCTTCAATTCGTACAAACTTGGTACGAGTTCTCACAGTGTATATAAATAGTTCTAAAATAGTTCTAAGCGAGTTCTAAGGCCGGAGGAACTGAAAGCAAGCCACAACACAAAGGCAAGCATCCATTCTGATTCTGATTCACTTGACTACGAAAATCGCCTCTATAAGGACTCAACACTCGGACTACGCTTTTGTTTCAGCAATTGTACGCTTTTGTTTTAGCTATGCTGTTGTGCTCAGTTGCTCTTAGGATTGGATTCACCTTGAATTCATCTTTTGATTCTGTCGTATTCATTCCAGATCCTGAATTCCGGACTGGAAAAATAAATGTTACGCTGAATATGTCTGGTGTAGTGGCGTGATCGCCCCCAAAATTTCAGTGCACGTCTGGCGTGACTTCACATGCTCTAAATTTGGTGCACATGGCGGCTCACGGCTGGTGAACTTTTCGGTGCAGGCCGCAGGGCGGCTGCATAATTTTTTTATTCGCCTTGCGGGGGCTCCGAAGAGGGATCCATGCGAAACGTCCCCTGGCCCGCTCGTCGCATGCTCAGACTAGCAAGCTGCCCTGAGTCTTCTTAGGATGATCAGAGCGCTGTTCGGCGGCCGGCTAGCGCGCTAGCCCGCGCACACATACGTGCACGTCGCCCCGGCAACGGGCTATTGACCAATGAGAAGCGCGCTACGGGGGGCACAGGTATATGAAAAATCGCAGTGACGTTGCACTTTACTCGCTTCTCATTGGTCAATAGCCCGTTGCCGGGGCAACCAGCACGTATGTGAGCGCCGGCAAGAGTACTAGCCGGCCGCCGATCAGGGCTCAGGAGCGGCTGCCCAGGAGAGGCCTTTACACTCTGCGCAAAGATAGGTATGGAAATTGGAAGACCTTGTTGAACATCTTGAGCATCGTGAAGTAATCCTACAGTGGGTTCCTGCTCACTTTGGGATCAAGGGGAATGATTGCAGACGACCTGGAGGATCGGCCGTCCTGTCCTCGGACGCCCGCTCGCTCAGACCCGGGGCGGTTCATTGTGCGGCCCCGCATCAATGGCGCGACAACTGGTCAGAGTCACTATTCAAGCCACTCCTCAGGACAAGGAGCACGCTGCCGCTCCCCATCCCTGGAGAGGACCGAGAGGACGCCGTTTCGGTGCACCAGATGACGGCAAGCCTCTAGGGCCGCTCGCTCCTGTACGTGCACCAGCACCGAATCGGCCGTCTCCCCTCCGCGGTGTGCCAGCAGTGCCCGGACAAGCGGTGCGCCGCGGCGCTCTGCGCCGTGTGCCAACTGCCGAGAAGATGCCGATGTGCCGGAACACGTGCTGCTACACTGCTCGGCCTCGCTGGCGCCTGGTAGCCTCGAACATAGGTACCGCTCCGCCGAATCTCGTAACCCCGGAACTTCCGACCCGGGCCCTGTTTCACGGCACACTACAGTGCACTACGTGCATTGTGGTATTGGGTTTCCATGGAAACCGAAACCAACTAATTTGGATGCTCAAATATGGGAGAGAGTCCAAGGCTCCAGAATGCTACGTCTGGTTGATATAGCCATGGTCGATAATGTACCTACACTTTATGTTAAGGTGGCTTGATTTTGGCGCGAATAGGTACCCAATTTTCAGTGCCAATCATGCAGAAATTTCATCGCGAAATCGCTTGTGCCGAATTTCGGCGCATGGGGGGGGGGGGTCTCACGGGCGTCCAGCATAGTGTATGGGTGTTTTCCTGTCTGGTTCCAGGTAGGTAGGTAGGTACTTATATTGGCAAGCTATTTTCTTTAGCCCTAATTTATTGTTATGTTAGGAATTGGCCTTGTGAAGATGGCGGCTGCCTAACTGCCTTACACAAAAGCAAACTAATTGGCCTAGATGATTTAGGTGGCCACCTTATTAGGTATTGTTGGAAGGCTACAGTGAATATACAGTGTCTGCCTTTTTGATGGACTCTCAATTGTGTGGATTCCTAACTTGTTGATCACTGGCTTGTTAACATTGTTAACATTGTCACAACTTTGTTGGCATATTATTCCACTGGGATGTCACCAGAGGCATTATTTTAATGCTTGTCCAGTTCCACGTGGGCTTTCAACTGGTATAGATACTTTTTCAAGCCACAGTGTGAGGATTTCTTTCATTTCAGATCAGTAAAACTCACTAGGCGCTAAGCAGATTGACTGGAATGGACATAAAGTCTAAGTCGCCTATCAATAGTCCATACTAAGTCTAAGTAAGTGAGTACAGTGGGCACACTTCTGGCTTACTTATCCCCTCTTATGAGAACACCCTTGCTCAGGCTGGCTTCATTTGGCATTAGGGTTTCTGTTTTGATAGCTATGGATTTCATAATCTGTTTCTGACTTTTTCTGTTGGCACTTGGCAGACTATGAAAAATGGGTCTGCATTGATATAATCATGATGTTTTATTAATGTCGTAGCCCCAGTAATGTTAGAGCTTTTATCAAATCAAAGTTTCCATTTTCAGAAGCGAGTCCATGATGGAAACAAAATCACATGTTCCTGCCTTGGTATGGCCAACATTCCACACAAAGACCAATCTACATTCCACTATCTACAGTTAATCTACAGCACCCAGTCTCATAGCCCACCCTGACCGCCCCCCACTGACCCGCTTTGTTCCAGACTCTCAGTGCCGCCGGGACCGAGCCGAGTGACCGCCGCCGCCATGTCGGAAGAGCGCGGCTCCGACGACGAGCTGTACCGCTGGGAGGCCGCTTGTTACAGCGAGGTGGACTCCCAGCCTGACTACGAGCTGCAGCTGCACCAGGAGCGCGAGCTGACCGCTCAGAAGCTGTGGCACCTCTTCCAGAGCAGTGCCACCTGCATCGCCCACCTGCATAAAGGTGAACGGCGGCAGGGGCGAGCGGGCTGGCGGGGGTAGGTTTCCATGTAAGCGGGAGTTTAAGGAGGCTTTGGGTCAATTAGATTAGCGAGTGAATTTCAGCCTGTGCCAACCTAGCGGAGAAAGCTCGATATAATTCTGACTAAATCAGAGCACATCAGTCGAACCAGTCTTTTATATTGCAGGACGGTCTCTTTTTCTATGTCGTTGGCATCACTTATGTTGCCCGCTGACCAGTCTGTTTCCCATCTGTTGTCCAGGCGCCTACGGAGGGGGAGGGGGAGGATGCGGTACCGAGCGGGGCGGCTCCCGCTGGATGCCGTTCCAGACTGCCGCGGGGTCCGTCACCGCCCTCTACAAAGGTGAGCAAAAGATATGTCCTTCCCCTCAACAAAGGTGAGTCAATGATATGTCACTGCATGCTAAAATGGTGAGTATATGATCGGCGTCACCGCCCTCAATGAAGGTGAGTAAATGATGCGGCACCGAACGCTAGAAATGGTGAGACGGCACAATGCGAGACGAGTTTATGTTTTTGATGTTTTAATCTAATAGTTAAACGTTAGCCGTCAGTCAATATATGATGACTATGCCATCGCCTCTCTATGCCCCGCCGAAATGTTAAGAAGTCCAATTGTCTCACTGACTTCATCAGCGCCTCTGCATTGATATCCACCAGTATAACGCCTTTTGTGGCGACTAACGGAGCGAGCGAGAGGGTGGGCCTTGCACGTGCGAAATTGCGAGGGGGTATCTCCAACTGCGTTGTGCACGGCACCCTAATAACCGGTCTGACTATCGATGTGCCAAATTTGAGCACAATCGGCCCAGCCGTTCTCGAGATCTGGAAGCGGCACCCTGCACGTGCGCACGTGCAGAATGGGACGTCCCAACTGACATGTGCATGGCACCCTACTAGCTGGTCCCTGACCCCGTACCAAATTTGAGCGCCATCGGTCCAGCCGTTCTCGAGATCTGGAAACGACCCCTGCACGTGCGCACGTGCAGCAGCACCCCAACTCTGGCACATGGATGTGCATTGCCTAGTGGGTGCCTACTGCCTACCTACCTGCCAACTTTCAGCGCAATCGGCCAAGTAGTTACCGAGATATTGCAACTATTACAAAAGTGACACCTCTTCGTTTTGCACGTGGCACGTGCATAAGGGGTCACCCACATGCATCGGGAGTAGTCCAATGCTTGGTAGAAGGAATTAAGCTACCCAACAAAATTACCGCATCTAAATCGGCCAAGTTGTTATTGAGATATAAGCGTCGCAAAAGCGTGACCACGGCCGGCCGGCCGCTCATACTCAGAAATTTCATTTATTCTACGTAAGACTCCGCTCGCTTCGCTCGCTCCGTAATTACCGACAGCTACTCGCATCCACCGCGAGTAGCTTTCATAACATTCCATAACATGGTGTGTTTGTTCTCCATCATAGACCCATCGACATTCGACCTTTTCATCTTGGGTAAAAGATCGTTCTCCGATCCATCATACTATGATCTTTCGACCCCTTGTGATCCAATTACTTGACTTGCTGGTATCCGTTGTATCCCTCCGTGACCGCTGTGTTATGACCGCGAGAACCCGTCGTGACCCACTGTGTCCAGCCGTGACCCGGTGTGACCCTCCATGACCCAGTACAACCAGTATAACGCCTTTTGGGGCGACTAACGGAGCCGGAGCGAGAGTGTGAGCCTTGCATGTGCGAAATTTCGAGGGGGTACCTCCAGCTGACTTGTGCACGGCACCCTACTAACCGGTCTCCAGCGATGTGCCAAATTTGAGCACAATCGGCCCAGCCGTTCTCGAGATCTGGAAGCGGCACCCTGCACGTGCGCACGTGCAAAATGGGTCCCAACTGACTTTTGCACGGCACCCTTCTAACCGGTCCCTGACCATGTACCAAATTTGAGCGCCATCGGTCCAGCCGTTCTCGAGATCTGGAATCGACCCCTGCACGTGCGCACGTGCAGCAGCACCCCAACTCTGGCACGTGGATATGCATTACCTAGTGGGTGCCTACCTACATGCCAACTTTCAGCGCAATCGGCCAAGTAGTTACCGAGATATTGCAACAATTACAAAACTGACACCTCTTCGTTTTGCACGTGGCACGCGCATAAGGGGTCACCCACATGCATCGGGAATAGTCCAATACTTGGTAGAAGGAATGAAGCTACCCTACAAAAATTACCGCGTGTAAATCGGTCAAGTGGTTGCTGAGATATAAGCGTCGCAAAATCGTGTCCACGGCCGGCCGGCCGGCCGGCCGCTCATACTCAGAAATTTCCGTTAATCTAAGGAAAGACTCCGCTCGCTTCGCTCGCTCCGTAACCATGTGTGGCCTGGACTATGTCCCTACGTGACTCGGTATCTCTCTCCATGACCTGGTGTGACCCTGGTGACCCTCATTGACCTGGTATGACTCCTACTACTAGTGACCCAGAATGTCCCTACGCGACCCGGTAGGACCCTATCTGACCCGGTGCGACCCTCTGTGACCCGGTATGGCCCTCCGTGACCCGCAGAGTCCGTGGACGGTGTCCGGCGCTGTACCGAGCTGGGCATCCTGCACGGTCAGCAGCGGCGTACCCGGGAGCTGCTGGCGCTCACCCGGCGCCGCCGCCTGCTCCGCCGGGAGGAGGTGCTCTCGCTGCTCTGCGGCCGCCCCCCGCCGCCGCCCCGGAGCGGCCATAGGTGGGTACTGGCCGGGCGGGAGATGGATTTAACCCGGCGGCCGCTGGGCCTCCGCGCCACCCGCCGGCCGCTGGGGGGGGGGGGCATAAAGTTGCCCCCCTTTACTTCTGCGACGATATCGTCGCAACGCGAAGAGATAGAGAAGCGAAACTTTGCACACATCTTCCTGAATACCTAGCCGAGGTTGTGTCCAAATTTGGTGTCGATCCCATTTGAAATGACGTCACAGTGACGTCATAAGTGAAATTATAGATTTGCGACTCTCATATTCCTCACGATACATCACATATATGGGACCGAATATAAAGGGCCGATTATTGGTCAGAAACTAGATGGAAGTGTAGTAAGATGTTTTAGGATGACAGCAGGTGCTGTCTAGTTCATTTACAGTCGAGTTTCATGCTCAGCGTCATCAGAAACGGTCCATATCGGAAAACGACAAAACTTTATGACGTCACTGTGACGTCATCTTAGGTGCTACAACCACCAAACTTTCCTCAAACATTGCCTAGGTATTCATTTGAAGCTATGCCAAGTTTCACGTTCGTAGCTCATCAGGTTTCGGAGATATTTCACAAAACGTAAAGGGGGGCAACTTTATGCCCCCCCCCCCCCAGCGGCTCGTGGGTTAAAATTGTGTCACAGCGCTGTACATGTTGATATTTGTTGCCATTTAGTACAGCCAAACGGATTTGAAGTGCGGCAACTGCACTGCTGAGAACAATACGGATTTGCTGTAGTTTATGGTAGCTTTTGTTATGTCAAATCTTTCCGTTAGTTTAATTCGCCAGGTGTATGGCTTGGTGTTCCCGTTGAACTACGGTAATTCGTCCTACACGCCCACTTACTTTCGATGTTGAGGGGTATCCGTGTGACGCGTCAACTTGCCGTTTAACGTCCCAACTTGTGACGTTCAATATATGTGTAACACCACATTTGTACCGCCGTCTATGATTCGTCCAGCCCTATAACTGGAGTGTAATGCCCAGTCTGACGCCCGTGTGTGTGTGGTGTGCCACCTTCAGGTCGTCCAGCCGCCACCAGAGTGCGGCGTGGTCGTCCGCCGGCGGCCGAGAGAGGGAGTCACCGCCGTCCCGGCCAGGAGCGGATAGTGCCATTTGGAACGGTGAGTGAGTGAGTGAGTGAGTGAGTGAGTGAGTGAGTGAGTGAGTGAGTGAGTGAGTGAGTGAGTGAGTGAGTGAGTGAGTGAGTGAGAAAGAGAGGGAGAGTGAGAGAGAGGGGGTGAGGGAAGGAGGGAGTTCCCGCCGTCACCACCGCTTTCGAATGATGAGGGAGTAAGGGGGGGATTCTCCGCTTTCCGAACTCGCTGTCGATGGTGCCCTATGCTACGGTGAGAGTTTTGAACTAAAGACTGTCTGTCCTATGTGTCTACGGCATTGGATGCGTTGTTCAAGTTTGAACATAGTCTGATAGAACTATCGTTGCGCTGGTTGTCCTCCCTTGGACAGCAGGCTCTGGCGTGTTGGCCCCTGCTAGCGCTCTTTGTCGCTTTGAACAACGTTTTCTTACCAAACTCTGTCACCTGTTACGCATCACAATATTGTTCTATTATTTTTGTATGTTCGTCACCCTTATGTTGTATTCTAGGCATGTAAAACTACACATAAGACGGGCCTCAGGCTGAGTGTACCATCCCAATGCGGCGTCCTTCCCTCTCAGCCGCTGACTGTGTCTTTGTGCCCGTGTTTCAGGCATATCTCCGGCCCTGGGCGGGTTCCGGCCGCCATCCCCCGCCGCTGCCGCCGCCGCTCCCGCCCCCGCCCTGCTGCGCCGGTCGCCGAGCCGCCGCCGCGCCAGCCGCTCGCTCTCACCCCTGGATCTCACGGCAGGTGAGATGCTTACCGCCAGGGGTAACACGGACAGGGGACATGTTAGAGCCCGCCCGCCAGGGCTACACGGACGTGAGGCAGGCTAGAGAACGCCCTGAGTTAAGCGGAGAACCGACTCCGGGCCATATCCAGGATATTGGGTGGCATCTCATCTTCATCAGTAGTTCAGTACTAACCAGTATAACGCCTTTTGGGGCGACTAACGGAGCGAGCGAGAGGGTGGGCTTTGCACGTGCGAAATTGCGAGGGGGTACCTCCAACTGACTTGTGCTCGGCACCCTACTAACTGGTCTCTAGCGACGTGCCAAATTTGGGCACAATCGGCCCAGCCGTTCTCGAGATCTGGAAGCGTCACCCTGCACGTGCGCACGTGCAAAATGGGTCCCAACTGACTTGTGCACGGCACCCTACTAACCGGTCCCTAACTGTGTACCAAATTTGAGCGCAATCGGTCGCGCCGTTCTCGAGATCTGGAAACGACCCCTGCACGTGCGCACGTGCAGCAGCACCCCAACTCTGGCACATGGATATGCATTGCCTAGTGGGTGCCTACCTACATGCCAACTTTCAGCGCAATCGGCCAAGTAGTTACCGAGATATTGCAACAATTACAAAAGTGACAGCTCTTCGTTTTGCACGTGGCACGTGCATAAGGAGTCACCCACATGCATCGGGAATAGTCCAATACTTGGTAGAAGGAATGAAGCTACCCTACAAAAATTACCGCATGTAAATCGGTCAAGTGGTTGCTGAGATATAAGCGTCGCAGAATCGTGACCACGGCCGGCCGGCCGGCCGGCCGGCCGCTCATACTCAGAAATTTCCGTTAATCTAAGGAAAGACTACGCTCGCTTCGCTCGCTCCGTAATTAACAGTTGAATTACCATTCGGATCTGAACGTGTGTACCTATTGACCTAGTCTCCGCACGTGAGCATACATAGGACGTCTTCTCGAACTAAATGCTTTCTGACAACAGACGGCAAGCAGGATGACTTGCAGTCATAGGCCTAGGAACGGGGGGGGGGGGAGAGAGGGCGGGGGCCATGCCCCCTTTCAGCCATTTTTTAAAGCAAAATTTTTATTTTTGATTTAAATACAAAACTAAGAGCAGGAAATGGTTTAGCAAGGTGAGATGAGCACACAACTGCAAATTTTTTTTTTCATAGGGGTATTGGGGCTCCCACAAAGTGACATTGAAGTTTTGCTGCCCCCCCCCCCACACACACACACTTTTCGTGAGGTTCCTACGCCCATGCTTGCAGTGAAGATTGGTTCGAAGGGGCCGTGTGCTCAGCACAATCCTCCGACCATAATGGGGGATTTTGAGGAACATTAATGATTTATGTTGGCTCTAAGTAATGAAACGTATGCTTTTTAAGAAACGTATGGAAACAATAATTATTAAAAACAAAGAGAGCAATGATCTTAAGAAAAAAAAACGGAGAGCGTGGCCGAGGAAGACACAATCTAGGTAATCATATAATATGCACCATGAAAATCAGGAAGGGTTAAATGAGAATGGGCTTGTTTTCAGTAAAGATACATTTTTATGAATGATTAGTTTTACACTGATCAGTAATTTCCGGTGTTTCTTTGTCAACGCTGATTCATCGTATATTCGATTACAGTGAAGCGGCCAGCGACGCCTTCCTCCCCTTGCGATGTGGTAATGGACTCGCCCACCCACAAGAGGCCACGTTACACGTAGCGGCCGGTCGATCCCACTTTGAGAGACGCAGGGGAGGTCGCTGCTGGCTGGTGCGTATGATGTGCCTTGCGTCGTGCGATGGTGACCTGTGACGTCACATTCAGCTGGTGCCAGTGCGTTACGCTGTGGATTACCCGTGTTCCTATCGTTTGTCCTGACCCCGACCCGCGCTGTGACGTCAGAGTGACGTCATTGAACTAACACGAGGCTTATCGCGCTGCCCACTGTATCTCGCCAGCGCGGCAGCGAAGAACGTATAATGGTGCGAGTTCGGAGTGCGTGTAGCACTGAGAGTACCCCACCGATGGTGTGCCGAGCCGATATATCGCGTTGATATCAAGTGTGATGTCTGATATCGCGTGTGAGGCGCTCACTGCTCAGATTGCCCGGCAGGGAACGCGCTACTGAGCCGTGGTAACAGGGTCGATTACAGGTGCGTCCGCGGGCGCATCCCAAAGGCATTGACTGTATTCTCGTGAAAAACATTTACCGACAATATAGATCGTTGTTTGACGTGATCTTTGCAGAACGAAACGGACGTAGTTTGATCAAGACTTAGGTGGTTCGTATTTGATCTCTTTTAAAAGTGTATCATGCCGTTCCGAAAAGTTCCGATATGATTCAACAAGATGTTTGACGTTTTAAGCAATTTTTTTTTGAAGCATGTAATAATTTAAAACGTACCATAACTTTGAAATAGGTTTCCGAGGGTTTAGTGGGATACCAGTTGCTCACCACATAATTTCTATCGTGCATCCGCCCGGCTCCATTATCGAATAGGTTTTACACGAGGCATGCGCGAAACACTGTCTTTGTATTTAAAAACGCTTTTCACTTTTTCTATCCCTGGACCCTGATTGTTGTTTTTGTCGTTTTTGGCTTTCAGCATTGGTTTGTGATTTAAAAATGGATGTTTGTTGTCTATGGTCAATTTTGTATGCTTGTCTGCATACAATGCATTCCTATTTTTATTTGAAGTCTTAACTTTTGAATAAATTGTAGCCATATTTTCAGAAGCCTTCACAAATGAATATTTCTTATCAGCTCGGATGACGGTGAACCTATTATAGTCACCGTAACTGGATAACACCAGGTTCCAGCGCCAACCGCAATTTCAAAATATATACCGGGTGGCCCAGAAAAAACGTTCCCAACTTTAACCCGCGACCGCCTGGGGGGGGTCGGATCCGACCCCCCCCTCGGTTTTTCTTGAATAACTCATGAACCACTTTCGCTATCTACTTGAAACTTGGCATACCTTCTCCCCCATCAATTTGACGTCTCCTGTGCGATTTTTAAGAAAAAATTTCCAAAATTTTTTGAGATATATCGATTTTAGTGATGTTACTACATGGCGTTTTTAGTCAAAAAGTGGTAAATGTTTAAAAAATCGCCAAAAATCAGGGTTTAAAGCAAATTGCTAATTAAGGACATGAAAAGACGCAGCTCAACGAGTTCTTTAAAATGGCTATCTCGGATTTTCCATAAAATGCATTTTTCACCCCTAAAAATTCAAAAAACTATATTTTTTGGGAAACAGCTAATAAAATCCAAAATTTTGGGAATTTCAAAAAAACCGGAATATATGTTGTAGAGCTCTATAAGAACATTAGATGCCCCAAATTTCAACTTTCTATCTTGATTTTTGACCCCCAAATTGTAAAAAATAGCTCCAACATGCATAGGGCATGGTGACGTCATAAGCATTTTCGTGAATTAGAGGCACTTCTGAACATCGCATGTGAAAACAAATGGCACCACTAGATTCCTGGGACAAAGCTCGTCTAGAAAAGTGCATTTTTATGTCAAAAATAAAAAGTTGAAAAATTGACATTTTTTCTCAGCCCTCCTTTAGTTATGTATGGTATAAACGATTTTCTATGCTTTCAATGCACACTTATCACCAGCACAGTGACTTGGGGTCACATATAACCATTATCATCGGATTCGGCGTGAAAAATAAGCCATAAAACATGTGTCGCACGCCTATGTAGCAGATAGTGAAAACCGTGACCTTTCGTGACCTGACCTGACCTTGACCCGTACTTAGTATGACCCCTATACGCACATGGTACCTTCACTAGGCCTTTGAGGTCATTTTTGGTGAGTTTCGAGCAGCAGCTATCGATTCTGCTGTCCGTAAGCCTAATCATGCAAACCCCTGAATTTGACCTTTGACCTGACCTTGACCCGAAAGTTGACCTCAATCTTAAAATCTTAAGAGTGCTTTGGGAAGGTCTCGTAGAGACCTTTCGAACGCCGCCTCGCGGGGCTCGATACGACCATTGGTTCTCGAGATAACAGGGGGGGTCGGATCCGACCCCCCCCAGGCTGTCGTGGGTACGGAAATAGCCCAGGCGGTGCCGGGTTAAATCAATATTTCTCAGAAAGTGATCCCGATACAACATTACAACTTCCAATAGTCAATGCGGCATATATTTTCAGCAAATGGTATGATTTTTATGTCATTCGGTCAATTACTTTTTAAATGGTTCGTGTTTTTAGCATGCCATGTAAAAATTACTTTTTTGCTCAGATGTTTGCTAAAAAATGTGAGTCATTTGGCCACTTCCATCTCGGTACCACGGCCTGCAGCCATGACTGCTACTGGCAACTAGTCTCATTGATGGTTCAGGCCTCAGGGTGACACATTCCCTCCAGCTTTTTTCCTTATTCGGTCGATTTAAAGTTTGATCTTCTTGAAGGGAGGGCGATCAGCAGTAACCCATGCACCGTGCCACACTCCTTCTGCTCGAAACAGGACTTGTTGAAACGAATGGCATCCATTACCACTATTTTGGCTCAGTATTTGAATATTTGGCACCTACGTAAGTGGGACAAAAAATATTTAAAATAACAACACACGTGCTGGTTTCATTCACGTGTTCTATTTTTTCATTTTTTCTAACATAGTACGTCTAAGCCAATCATCAATACCGTTCAACATCGGCAAAAAATGCAAAAACGCCTTACTTAATTCAACATAAGATTGCTGGCTTGAAAATGATGGTACAGTGTTATAATTTGGCATACCAATGCGCAAAGAAGTGACGCAACCTTGATGACAATTTTGGCTCGTTATTTGCACTCGAATTTGAGATATAGGACTCCAAAGTTCGGAACGTTTTTTTTGGGCCACCCGGTAGGTACAGGTTCCTCGTACCGTTACCTATCAGGCATTTTTTTTCTGGTGTCGTAAGGCCGTCAACTCCAGCCAAATGAACAACGGTCATCAATTTTAGTAGTTTCAGTCTATTGCGGTTGTGTACGTACATTATACCAGTTTTGCCATGGCGGCTTTGCTGATGGGCCCAGACAGTCATCGGCCTGATAAGGAATATCCGGTATTGAACGGTGTTATCCCGACGGGTTCGAACGGGACGAAAGCCGCTTTGTCACATTATGCGACTTATTGGACCGGTACTTGTATTTATCCTGTTTGCCAAGTGTTTGGCTCTCGCCCTGCCGTCTGTCATGTCACTGACCTAGTCGTGTTAGACGCATCAGGCAATTGGGCGAAACATCGAGGGGTCTACCAGTCGAGGGCAGTGGTAGGCATGTGGAACACTGATAGGCTCGGCACGGGGTAACCGTTGTCGCCGGGTCTATCGGTTTTCTACATGCGTCTTGGCCGAGGGGGAATGAAACTCCCTCGCCATTTCGCCCCAAACTGAGCTAGAACTTGGGGAATGAAACTTCCTCGCCGTTTCGCCCCAAACTGAGCTAGAACTTCGTGGAAAAGCAAGCATGTGTGCCGTCACGGGACGAGACGACTGGTTAACGATTTTAAATTTAGGGTGCTTTAGTTCTAAATACCAAATTTACAAAAAAAACGGATATACCGACACCGCAAAATGTAATTGATAGCTTTGAACATCACATCTACCTAATTTCGATTTCTATATAAAACCATTAGCTGTCTGGGCCGTGCAGATTCCTGACGTCCGATAAGGTCGGACACTGACCTGATCAGAACCGGCTTTGCTCCCGTGTGGTTCTGGTTATAAGCAGGTATTTAGTATTTATCACCGCCGCCACACTGGCGATTGGCACCAGACGTTCCAGCATTCCAGTTTTCTGGACGACCGGCTACTCCGCCTGAAAAATGTGACGACGTGATTGATTGCAGCCGCAATCGGCGAAAAAAAATGACACCAGATCTCGCGCTATGGTGTGGAAGGGGGTATACGCCCCCCTCCAGTTTTTGTGAGTATTTTACGGTACGTAAACCAAAAATGAGCCTAATCGGAGGTGTCAGCCGGCGGTCAAAGCCTAAATTGTGAACAAGCAAAAATGCTGATGATTTTTACTTTGTCCTGACCTATGACGTCATCGGTGACCTCGAGGTCAATGAAAATAGGTTTCATTCGGCAGTTTTTCCAGGGCTATCAGACACCGTTTGAATTTTGACGATCGGCCCAGCAGGTTTGGAGATAGGGGGGGGGGGGCTCTAGAGAGCCCTCCCCCTCCCTCAGTCACTCGCGTTATGGAAAATGCCCCAGTCATGCGCGGGTTAAAGGGGCCCTCCCACCAGGGATGCGGAGTCGGAGTCGGAGTCGGAGTCGCCCGGAGTCGTGGTAGCGAGCCCGAAGTCGGAGTCGGAGTCGACCAGGCTGCCTTGACTCCGACTCCGGGAAGCTTATTAAAATTTGTGGCGTTGCTTGCTGGAAATGAATTTATATCTAGAAATAAATTTTCTGGAAATAAATTTCAAAAATGTTTTGTTTTGTTTCCTCAACAATAAGAACTGCTAGCCTTTATATTATAATGATGGAGCGGCCCACCTGGAGCGCCGGGGAGGTATCCCACAGAATCACAGATCTCCCCGGTCGAGGAGGTATCCCCCAGCTCTCCCCGTGGTCGGGTGGTGTTTGCCGGGATTAGGGCGCCGCCCGACCTGGCCAGGTGGGCCGCACAGGGCAATTTTAAATGTTTTGTTTGTTTCTTATAAGGTGTGATGAATGTGGATGAGTGACTATGTATCAAAAAAGATTATGAAAAAAAACTGTGATCAGTGATTGGACAGTGTTAATGATTGCGTCGTATTTCGCATCAGACCCGGAGTCGGAGTCGGACTCGGACTCGGAGTCGGAAATCGCTACCACGACTCCGCATCCCTGCCTCCCACCTTCAAAAAAGTTAATGAATTGGTATGAAAGTGATGTCGCTCGGTTCAGAAAGAGCAAAAACGAATATCTACCAAATTTCACCGAAAAATATTCACCGGTTTTCAAGATATTAGACTTTTACTTTTGTTTACTTTTTTGGGATCTCCGCTGTTCTTAGCGACTTCATTTTGGAAGTGCGGCGTTTGCGGCAGATGTTGCGCGCAAATAGCATATACCACCACTGCTTCACAAAGATGTTAGCATAAGGTTTTAAAATCGTTAGATCACCGCTGACGTCACAAATTCTAAGGGGGCATTCCAATGCATTAGCCCCTTAGCCCGCGCATGATTGGGGGGGACTCTACAGAGCCCCCCTCCCGTTTTTCAGCAATATTTTCTAAACCG